GTATGGCAAGAACCTTATCAAGCGTGTTCATATAGCCTAGGAAATATTAGGTAAAAGTTGACAATGAGATTGCCTGAAATCAAAAAGGAATCAATTAATGGAGTGAAAAGAAAAGACAGCCTTCAACATACTAAATGAAAAAAAAAAAAAAAAAAAAAAAAAAAAAAAAAACACCTTTTCTAGCTATTTCTTTGGTAGATTGGTAAATGATTAATGTCTTAGTTAGGATCTCTATGGCTGCAATAGAACACCACAACCAAAAAAGCAAGGTGGGGAAGAAGGGGTTTACTTGGCTTACACTTCAGCATTACTATTCATCACTGAAGAAAGTCAAAACAGGAACACAAACAACACAGGATCCTGGAGGCAGAAGCTGATGCAGAGGCCATGGAGTGGAGCTGTTTACTGGCTTGCTTCCCAATGCTTGCTTAGCTACATTCTTTTAGAATTCAGGACCAGTAGCTCAGGGATGGTGCCACCCACCATGGGCTGGCCCTCTCCCATTGATTACTAATTGAGAAAATGCCTTACAGCTGGATCTCATGGAGGCAGTTCTTCAAGTGAGGCTCCTTCTGTCTGTGACTCTAGCTTGTGCCAAGTGGATACACAAAACCAGTCAGTACAACTAATAGCAGAATATAGAAAGATAAAAATTCAACACCAAGAAAACAAATCATGTGATCAATTCATTGCCAAATGAGCACACAATTATCAAAAGAAAAAAATGGGCAATAAATATATGAAAAGAATTCAGCATCCATATCCATCAGAGAAAAGCAAAGCAAAAGTGCACTGACATCCCATCTCCATACCATACCAACTGACTGTCATCAAGAAAACAAACAGAAACAAATGCCTAGTAAAAGTTGAGGGATAGCTGACACAGATGTAGAAACATTCACCGTAGAAATCATCATATGATCCGTTTACAATACTGTTGGGATAAGCCCAACAGAATCCACATTAGCATACTACCTGCATTGTTTATATTATAGTGCTGTTCACAAAAGCCAAGTTATGGAATCAGCCTAGATGTCCATTGATAGATAGATAGATAGATAGATAGATAGATAGATAGATAGATAGATAGAAAAAAGGTGGTATAGACACAAAGTAGTTTCCTGCAGCCATTAAAAACAAAAGCAAATTATTTTTAGGAAAATGAAACTAGAGATCATTATTGTGATGGCTATTCTTGGTTGTCAACTTGACTGCATCTAGAATTAAGGAGTAGGTATGCCTGTGAAGGATTTGTGCTTAGTTAAACCACTTCTAATCCACATTGTGTGCTGGTAGCCTATACAAAGAACATGGAAGAAGGGAACTTCTCTCTTTGCCTCCTTACTCTCACTTTTGCTAGCAAGTCCATTTCTTCACTGGCATTAGAGCCTACTTCTTCAGGATTCCAACATACACTGAAGACCAACTGAGACATCCAGATTTGTGGACTGAACAACTACTGGATTTTTGGACTTCCAGTTCATAGGTGGCCATTGTTAGATTAGTTGGACTACAGCCTGTCAATCATTCTAAAAAAGCACCCTCTCTAGGTAGGAGGAAGGGCCTAGTCCCTACTCCAAATGACTTGACAGATTTTGTTGACCCCTCCTGGAAGGCACCACCCTCCCTGTGGAGCAGGGGAGGGGAATGGGATGGGAAGGTAGTGAAGGGGTGATAGGAGGGAGGGAGGGAGGGAGAGAGGGAGGGAGGAAAGGAGGGAGAGGAAACTGGGATAGATATGTAAAATAAGAAAAAAATAAACTTGAAAAAACACCCTGTCTATATGGAGATTCATTCTACAAGTTCTGTTAACTCTAGAGAACTCTGACTAATACTACCATGTTAAGTAAAATAAACCAAACTCAGAAAAACATAACATTTCTTACATATGGAATATAATATGTACATATATATGCCCATGCACATGTGCAGAAGAACTGTTGGTGAAGAAGAGGACTAGACAGTGGTGAGGAGGCAGGAGAAGGGAGGGTAATACAAGGGTGAGGATCAAGTAAATGGTAAGCACACATTAGAATTAACTTAATGACCGGACATTGGTGGGTCACACCTTTAATCCCAGCACTCAGGAGAAAGAGGCAGGCCCATATCTGTGAGTTTGAGGCCAGCCTCATCTACAGAGCTAGTTTCAGGACAGACTCCAAAAAGCAATACAGAGAAACCCTGTCTTGAAAAGCCAAAAAAAATATATTAATGAAACTTTATGTGATGAATGTACACTAATTAAAGATTCAAAGACCAGTGAGCAGGGCTGGAGAGATGATTCAGAGGTTAAGCACATTTGCTGCTCTTGCAAAGAACCTGGATTCAGTTCTTAGCATCTGTAACTCCAGTTCTAGAGGATCTGATGCTCTCTTCTGGCCTCTGTGGGAACCATGTATGCATGGGGCATGTACATACAAGCAAGAAAAACACTCATACATGCAAAACAAAATAAATAAAACTTTAACACTGTAGCCTCAAAGATCAGATTCTCATCTGCCTGATGATCTAATGATGGTGGAGGGGAGGCAGAAAATGATCACAAAACAGATAACAAAGCAAGTATAAGATGTCTACAAAATTTTGTAAGTTTTTTTTATTAGAAGCATTTGGCCCACTGATGAAGCCAGGAGGGCTTCCTACAGAGAATGGCATAAGCCTGTAACTGAACTGAGTGCATGAGCTGGCCAGGCAGTCATGAGGATGGGATCAAAAGATCAAGGTGGCTGGAACACCCAAAACGAAAGGCTGAGAAATGCACACAGGTTAAGGACAGAGAAATAGCTAGGAATGAGATATCTATGTATGTTATGTGACAAAATATTTCTGGGGGAGACACAGCACACATGTATACTCACCCCAGATATGGATCCCATCATAGAGCAAAGTACAGACACCACCAAAGTCCAACTTGGTAAACCAGTAAGTCTTATAAAAGTTACTTACAGAAGCATGGGTAAAGGGTCACTTACAGGAGCAGAAATGACTCAAAGACAGCTGCAGCACCAAAGCTACTCCAGCGTGAGTGACAGCTCACAAAGCTGGGGACCTGGAGCATACTGCACAGCCTGCAGGCAGCTCAACAGGCTGGAGAGTGCCCTTTCCAGGTGGCTAGGTTGGTCTAAACCTCTTCCAGGCAGCTCAGCTGGTCTCTGCTTCTGGGGTGGGGTGGGGGTGGGCGGCTGGGATCTGAGTCTTTGCAGCTTTGCTTGTCTGCCAGTTTCCTTTGCAGATAGGCTCACTTCCATCTGAAGGGGACTCTGGTTTTACTTCTTACTCTGGCGGTGGGTGGGGGGGTTGGGGTGGCTAGTGAATCTAGTCTGTTTCAGGTGTTTTGAGTTCTCTTCCTGCTTAAAGAGCTTCCCTAGAGGATAGAATTTCCCTGAGGAAATTTTTACAAAACAGCAAGCCCATGTAGATGGCATCAGAGAGTCTAAGTGTCACCTACAAACTGGAGGTAGGACTTACATACACTGAGGAAGACCTTAGGGTGGTAGCAGAGTGCATGGGGCCGTGTGCATGGCTTTGAAAAATGTTAACAATAGAAATCCGTGGGATGGGGAAAAGATTAGACAAATGGGTGAAGGAGAAAAAACAAGGGTATAGTGCCATGAAAAGTGTCTGGTTTGAACTTCTTCCAGATAGTCTTACTTTCCCCACTCAAAAACAAACATGGATATATTATGGGCTGGGTGACTGGGGAGCAGAGCCACTGAAAAGAGAATTGAGGAGTGAGAGCTGGAGGCTGTGCTTCTGTGGAGCCACAGAAACAGAAAGACTGGCCAGTGACTCAATTTAGAAAAGGTTTAAAAAAGACTTCAAACTCACTGAATTTAGATTTTTTTTCAATATTTATTATGGCACACAGGATTGAATATGGAACTGTGTTCTTTGACCAAGTATTTTTTAAACCAACCAGCTGTTTGCATTGACTCATAACTAACAAGTACAAGTGTGAAAAGCTTGCTGTGTAGGTTTCCTATCTAGTATTGCCTAGAGTCTTCATTGTTCAAAGCCACATGGCAACACATACTCAACTAGAAGTAGGAAATGCAAAGAGACCAGGTAACTTTACATGAAGACCAATTTGGTTTTAGGTAAAATTCCTAAGTCTCAACAGTGAAGAAACCAGCAGACCAAACGGTTGTTTAAGAACATCAGAGCAGTAGATCAGCAAAGACTTCATCTATACCACACACCAAACACAAGTGCAAGGGTTATGGCTTTACCATGGGTGGGGGCAGATGGGTATAGATGTGATGCAGTGTCCAACCAGGCATTGAAACCCAAATATTTACCAATTAAGGCATGCAGAACAAAGCCATCGCAACATACAAATTTATTATCTCCCCCAAGAAGTAACATTAATATAACTCCATTACCTGCTTGCATGGTTTTTAAAGGGTTTTAAAATGTATAGTTTTAAAGGCAATTTATGTGAGGCAGTAGAACTAAGCAAACAACACACCATTCGTGAGCTCAGGATCCCAGGCAACGTGTTTGTGATGGCAGATAGCCTCTGATAAGGTTACTTGCCCCAGTCAAAACCAAATATAGATTTTTTTTGAAAAGTCATTCCTCTTAATTATAGCATGGGCTTAGATTTCCATTTATGCCCATGATACTCAAGAATATATTTTAAAATAGTGACAACTGTGTGGGATTCATAGTCTACCCAGATTGTACTACTGTGTACTAGTCCACCTTAATTTCAAAATTGCCTTATAGAAATCCACCCATCCTATTAATACATTGTACATTTTACAGGCAAAATTACATTGTTATTTATGAATACTTTCATTCGTATTTATTATCAGTAAAGTGAGGGGGATATTTGCTAGTCTTGACCTATTTCTCTGTCCCCAAGAATGTCTAAATATGCACTGCACTTGTTAAATTTTGTATTTTATAAAAGAAACTGGAGCTCAGAAATACACTTGTTTGTATTGGTGCCTTCTTTAAGGTACTTTAATTAAGTTAAAAAAACACAGCAAAATATATATCATTCAGTGTAACTTTATTTACTATTTATTGCACATAACTCGAGGTCTTTAATTTCTAACCACCGAAGTTTCAACTGACTATTTTTCCCATGAAGTTGCACATGAACATTAGTGAATTCATTTATTTGTGGTGTGTGTGTGTCATTTTTTATTATTGTAAACATCTGTGTGATTCATATTGCCATAGATCCTGAACTCATAAGCATGGACCATGCACAGGCTGGCAGCAAGCCAGAAAGCCACTCTGCAAGCAAACGGACACTCTGCATACAGAGAAAATTCATAGCACAACACTGAATGTCCAACCTAAGTCATCTCAGAATTATACATATATGGACTTCTTAATTTGTATAGGATCTGGAACTCAACTGGTTGGTTGGTGATGAGGTTGACCTGATTTGGGGAGATGTTTTTCCTGGAATAGCTGGGAATGGGGCTTAATCTTTCTTCTTAGCTGCTTGCCCCTCCCCAGCACTCTCCTCTTCCTTCTCTCCCTCTTCAGATTCCTTGGTGTCTTCCTCTTCACCCTCGCCACCTTCCTCCTCTTCTTTTGTATCTTCGGACTCCTCCTTGGCAGCTTGAACATAAGAAAACACAAAATCCAAATCTAGGTTAACTCCAGGCAGAACATTTTGGCACAGACTCTATGAGTTACTAAACACTATTGTCAGAGTGCATCTTTAAACCTCTCGCTCTACTCTCCCAAAGGGCATATTACAGACAGTGCTTGTGGTGAACAGTGTGGCAGGAGACACATATTAAAATAAGAGGAGATTATTTTCAGGTGCTGTGAGCTTATCTCCTCTCCAAACCACCATGTTAAATGAATGTGTTAAAATATGAACTTCTACAATTGTTCATAGATGCTTAACAAATGTTGTGTGTCCTCATCACACATGTATTGTTTGTGGTTGCAAGGCCCCAAAGCCCCTCCATCTCCCAATGAATACCCACAGCCAGTATGCACTAGGATTTTGAAAGGTTTTTGTCTTTGTATACCTTCTTCCTCCTCAGCGCCTTCCTCTTCCTCCCCCTCCTCCTTCTCCTTCTCCTCCTCTTCTGCTTCTCCCTCAGAAGGAGGCTCATCCTTGGCCTCCTCAGCTTTGACAGCCTCAATGGTCTCCTCCACCTCTGTCTGCTCTTCCTGGACGTGGCTGGTGTAGTAGGCTGGGAATGAGCGAGCGGACATCAAGTAGGAGCTGCTCTGCAAGCCACTGTAGGCAGAGCGGCCAAAGATCTGCGAGCTCTGAGAGTAACCACCAGTTATGCTGCCCACGCTGGTGAAACTGAGCCTGGTCTCTTCACCTTCCAAGAGTTTCCTGGGGGGGGGGGGCGGCAGGTCAAGGGCACAGTTAGACCACCACTGAATGTGTGTTCATGACTTGTTCTAAGCCCACCATTCATCACTTTTCCCTACTGCTGACCTCAAAAGCAAACACAACAATAAACAGGGTTGGGCATAATTAAGATTTTAAGAGGGATTTCATGAGACCCTGCCTCCAAAAAAACCTTCAATGTACCCCTACTAGATTCAAAATGTAAGTGCTAAAAAGAGGGCTTACATTACTTCAGGGTTAATTCCTTACATGTTTGTACCTTCTTGGACAAAGTAGGACTCTCTAGAACACTTGTGATTCAGCATAACTCTGCCCAGACTCTGGTTATGTGGTCTTTCCCACGGCCTCATGTGCTCTGCCTGTGCCATTCCGATTTTACCTGTAAGCTGCGATCTCAATGTCCAAGGCCATCTTCACGTTGAGTAGGTCCTGGTATTCCTTCAGGTACCTTGCCATCTCACTCTTCGTGCTTCTCAGTTCGTTCTCCAACTTGTTGATTGTGTCCTGTTGGGAGATTGGTTTAAACTTTCAAAACACAAATCTCTACTGCTTTTATTTTACTGTGATATTGGTGCTAAGGACTAGCTTCAGTTAACTACAAAGTGTGAGCCTTCAATAAAATCTCCCTTAAAATAACTGCATGGTGTTTTGAACTAAAATGTCCAGCCTAGTGAAGTGTGAGGAGGGGGAGGGGAGGAAGGGGGGATGGACTGATGTCAGCAACTTTTAAATTTTTCTTTGTCTATTGATTATGGTAAAATGTCTAAAAAAAAGTACCAAATTGATTTTTTAAAAATGAAGAAAGAAAGAAAGGAAGAAAGAAAGGAAGGAAAACTTTTGTCACACTTCTATCTTTTAGCCAAATCACATTTGGGGAAGGGAACATACAGTGATTTGCTAAAATGCTTTCCACAACTCTACTTCTATTCCTCCAAAGATGAGAACTTAAATAAATAAATGGGTTGAAGTGATTAATTGGCCTAAAATATTCTGACTGTATTCTTGTGTGCCTATTAAAAAGAAAACTATCCCAAGGCTGGATGGTCCAAAACTAGTGAGAGCTAGCCACTGTATGAATTAATCCAGAGATCCAGGAAGTGCCAGGGTAACTTTGAGTCGAGTGGTCAGTACAAAGTAAGCATCAGACTAGTGGCCACGCCCAACTGCGACTCCCTCCGCCCCTCCCTCCCAACCCAACCCTAAGAACACAACAGGCAGCAGTGGCGCCCCTCCCCCTCCAAGTGCCCCACCCTTACCACAACCCCCGGAAGCCAAGCCCTGTGTAAGCGGCTCCTTCTCGAGGACCCCCTAGCGTTCACTCTCTGGGTGCACCCTCCACCCGGACTGTGCAACCTCCCCACCCCCACTGGGCTTGGACTCGTGCCAAACCTGCATGGCGCTGATGTCTGCATTCTGCTTGTCCTCCAACTCCTGCAGCTGCTTCTCCAGAGCTTCGTTCATACCCCGGCACGCTTCGATCTCGAGAGTTTTAGCCTTGAGCAGGCGGCGGCTTTCGGACACCTCATCCTTGGCAGCGCGCACAGCATCGGTGTTCTTGGCGGCACTCTCGGTCAGCACCGTGAAGCGGCTCTTGAACCACTCTTCCGCATTCTGCATGTTCTTGGCGGCCAGCTTCTCATACTGAGCGCGGATGTCCTTGAGGGCGGCGGAGAGGTCGGGCTTGGAGGACACGTCCATCTCCACGGAGATCTGCGCGTACTGGATCTGAGCCTGCAGCTCGGCGATCTCCTCCTCGTGCACCTTCTTCAGGAAGGCGATCTCGTCCATCAGGCTGTCGATTCGCTTCTCCAGCTCGGCACGAGCGAGCGCGGCCTCATCGGCGCCTTTGCGGGCTTCCATCAGCCGGCCTTCGGCGTCCTCGCGGCTCAGCACCTCCTCCTCGTAGCGCGCCTGCAGGTTGCGCAGAGTTTCCTCCAGCCCCTCGCGCTCGCCCTGCAGCGCCTGTTTCTCGTTGGTGGCGTCTTCCGCCGCCAGCCGCAGATCGCGGATCTCCTGCTCATACAGGGCGCGGAAGCGGGAAGGCTCTGAGTGTTTCTGGCGCAGGACCAACAGCTCGGCTTCCAGGACCTTGTTCTGCTGCTCCAGCTCGTGCACGCGCTCGATGAAGCTGGCGAAACGATCGTTGAGGTCCTGAAGCTGAGCCTTCTCCTGCGTGCGGATCGACTTGAGGTCGTTGCTGATGGCGGCTACCTGGCTCAAATCGAGGTTCTCCAAGCTGGGCATCAACGAGCCGGAGCTGGACGAGTAGCTGCGGCGCACGGACAGAGAGGAGGAGACCGGTGCGGAGTAGCTGGAGTACGCGGAGCGTGCCGTGCTGTAGCCGCTGCGCACGCTGGAGATGTGCACCCGGGGCGTCTCCACGTAGCGCCGCTTGTAGGATGTCGAAAAGTACGGGTCGTAGCTGAACGAACTCATGGTGGCGGCCGGTGTGCCCCTCCGGCCCGGGGCGGAGGTGGGAAACCTAAAGAGAAAAACGGGAAAGAAGAGGGAAGGGGAGGATGGATGGCTGTGTGCGGCTCGGCGCGGTCCTGCCACCTCTATTTATACTCCAGGACTCTGACGCAGACTGTGATCGATCGCGGTGCGCAGGCCAGTGGGGGCAGCGCGCTGCTGCAGCCAAGGGGAGGATTCTGCGCAAAAGCGAAGGTGGGGGCGAGCGACAGGCGGCTGGCGAGGTGCGGCTTCTGCCTGGCAGCTTTTCTCTGAGACCCTTCACTTTCTCTTAGACCCTCATAACCTCCCTATTCATTCCTTTTCCTTTCCCATTCCCCCGGCCCATCCTGCCTATTAATACCTAAAACCCTCATCATTCGGATCTTTAAATGTTCCAAATAAAAGGTTCTCACTCCCTACTGACACATCAATTTTTAAAATCTAATGTTTCAAAGACACTCCGACCCCACCCCACCCCTAGCTCTCCCTTTCTCCATCAGGGACCCTCTTAAGCATCCTGCTTTGTGTTTACGTAGCGGTAGCCAGAGTTGTGAGTCTGGGGCGGTTAGGCTACTGACAATAGCTGAGGATAGGTAGTGTCCATGCGACATCCCCGCAGGAAAGTTTTGCATGTCTTTGTAGCTATTTTCTGACATTTTTCTTAAATTCTCCTCCTGCATCCTTTTATTTATTTTTCCTTATCACTCTATTTCTCGACACATAGAGGATATGTTCCCTTAAAATCTCAGGACAACGGGTGATCATTTTAACATCTTAAACCCTTTACAGGAAGCAACTTGTCTTGCACCTTTCATAGAATGTACCCTTTCTTGTGGGGAATGAAGCCCGGAATGCCCCTGGAGGGTTTGAAACTAATCAGGCAAAGATGCATACTGCAGCAGCAGAACTTCAGGGTGTCTGTGCTCTCTGAGCTATTCCCGCTCCTGTCTCATCAAAAGTCTCTTCCCCTCGTTTACACCTGTGTGGTACCCCAACCTGATGGTTTCAGCAAGCCATTTTTGAGAAAGGTTGTGGGAAGAAACCGCTGCTGCGAACAGCTGCCAGCTCTGGGTGTGGTCTCCCAGGAAAGGAACTCAGCCTGGAGACGAATGAAAATAAATAGCCCGCTGAAATTCATAGGTAACGGATGCAATAGGGAATCTGTGGACTACCTTCAGGAGCACCCAGGCACCAGAGTGGGCAAGCCAAACGCACGTGGGTGTAACATTTTCATACCGGGTTGTGAGTTCCTGCAGTTTCGAGAAGATACTGCAGAGATTCGTAGGAAGTAACTAAAACCGTTTTTGAAGCAAGCATTTGGTGTTTTGTTTAATTTGTTCAACATACCACTGGCTTACTGTTTCCTTTAAATGGTCCAGTAAGGGGGTATGGGTAACGGTTTTCAAATAGAGAAGTGAGGTTTTTGGAGCTGTGCCCGGTCGCTTCTGGAGACCAAAAAGAGGGTGAGGTAAGGTTTATTATGTGAGTTCCTTTCTCATCTTACACTTGCTGTGATTCCTATAACTCATCTCCCCTTCGTGGAAGAGAAATGGACTGAAGCACAGGACTTCCGTGGGGTTGCTGGTAATTTAAATCTGTTAAACCCTAAACCCACCCATGCTTACACATTCTACACTTTCAAACGTAAAGTCGCCAGGCTGCCTGAGACTTGTGTAAATAGCATATAGGGTCAAATACTATTCAGATTTTTTTTGTAACCTGCATATCCTTTTTTGCATGCATCGATGATCAAGAAGACTTAAGGGGGAGAAACACACACACACACACAGAGAGAGAGAGAGAGAGAGAGAGAGAGAGAGAGAGATCTTGAAGTAGCCTTAGCTTTCTTTGCTTTCTCTTATTTCCATATAGATGAAGAGTTGCAGATTGTTTTTTCCCCAAGCTAGCTCCACGTATCCTGTATCATTTCACAATCTTTTGTAGAGGATCAGCATACTCCCCTGTTGGGCATCGTTCACCCCCATTCTTCCAGTGCCATTCTTCAGGAGTTACAGGTCACTCTCAGAAGTTTTAAGCACTCTCATGCGAGCACAAGTGTGTGTGTGTGTGTGTGTGTGTGTGTGTGTGTGTGTGTTTCTTTGGAGGGGGGCAGGGCTTCTTGCTAACACCTTTGACTGCTGAGCAGACTGCCCAGAAGGGAGCAGTGCAGCTGGTGCTGCAGGGACCATGAGATGCTGCAGACAAAATAAATGATAAGGCACCTTCTGTGGTTCAGTAAGCAACAGAGAGGGGAGGCAGGTACTCGGGCTTGGTGGCAAGGCTGGCATCTGCAAATCTGATTGAACATCCGGGTCCCACTCTCTTGCTAATCCTGACCAAGAACAAACAGAGGAAAGGAGCAGTGCTAGCATTCTTGAATGGGGTCTCTACTCCTTTCTTCATAGCATCCAGCAATAACCGTTGGTTATAGTTGCTTCCCTTCAGCCTTGCATTGGAGTAGAGGGAGGGGTCCTAAAACCACGCTGAGTCCCCCACTCCACCCTTCATTACCCTGCTTCCTGCTCTCCTCTGCTAGGTGCCGGCCTCTTTTTTAAGTATTCTGTCCAGTCATTCTCCCTTCCCAGTCCTCTTGTCAGCATTTGCTCCAAGGGCCCAAGTGACATTGCTTGGTGTGTCTGAGCCAAGGTAGAGTTTGACACTTTAAAAAGAAACAGCTTGACTTTCCTTTTCCCTGTCCATAAGTGTTCTGCCTTGGTGACTTCTACAGTAGGTCGTTGGCTTACCTCCTCCCTCTCTGTCTCTCTCTGTCTCACTCTGTCTCTCTATGTGTTTCTCTCCCTCTCTCTCTCTCTGTGTGTGTGTGTGTGTGTGTGTCTCCATAGAGTCTATGAGTCTTATCTTTCTATATGCACAGAACAAACACAAAATTGAGAGTTTCCAGAAGGACCACATCTAGTAGATACACGAAATGAAAAAAAAAAAAAGGAATAAATACGAGTTGGTGAGAATCATTAACAAAATTCTTACTGCTTTAGTTATCTCCACATACCTCTATATTCCTTCAAACAGCTCTTCCAGCTCCATTAGTCGAAAGCAAAGTATATTTGCATTGCAGTTACATAGTGTATAACTGTTTTAGGACCACTAAAAATATATCACTTCTTGGATTCATAAGCTTCAAGTGGGCACCTGGTAACGCCAGCTTTTCTGTTGCTTATTCTGAAAATTTTCTGGCACAGGAACTTCCGTATTGACTTTTTTTTTTTTTTTTTTTTTTTTTTTAAGTACAGCCATTAGGCTGAAATTCTTACAGGCTAGAGCATGGAAGGTTTCTGTCCATGGTCCTGAGAGTCAAATTCTCCTCCCAACAGTAAAGCAGTCAAATAATCAATCCTAGGGCAGAACAGTAGGTGGGTCTCCATCCCCCCTCCCATCATCAAGTAGATACATAAATGGCATTTGTGCCAGAGTCCATACATCAATCCAAGGAGGGATAAAGGAAATTAACACAGAAGGGGTGCTCACCAAGTAACAGGCACTTGCTATCTATTATTTAATAAGGACACAATCTCCATGGGAAGGTTATTCAGAGCAAACAGCTGAAGCCAAAGACATTCAGTCATTTGAAATCACACATCTACTTCAAGCTCAAGCTGTGCCTGCCTCCAAATTGAGTACATCTCTCCTTATCCGAGTTCACATCTTCCCTGTCTTTGCAACGTTCAGTAATTGCATGTTGCAGGCCGCAGAATATCACATACATGCAGCGTACACCTCCCATTTGGGTAACAACAACAGGAACTGATCTACACTGTGAAGCAGTGGCTGAGAATGTTTCCTTTGGACATCCAGCAAAGACAATGAACCGTGTGATTGTTATAAGTTTCCCTGAACATGCCAACAAAAATAAAATAGGTATTCCTCGTAAAAGACAATACATACCAGTAACATAAAAATTGACTTTATCATTTTCCATGGTGTAACTTTTCAGACAGAGCCTCATCACCCATTTGGAACATAACCTTTTCCGAAGTTGTTAAGCCAAAATGCATCCTGGCCCCTCTAAATCTGCAGTCACCACATCCTGATGCCCACTTTCCTTGGACTATACTTGTCTTCACTCTCTGCCCTTATAAACAGGATTTCTGAAGGTTACCTTAAAATCACTGCAATAAATGAAAGAAAAAGTGCTGGCTCTCAGTAACCCACAGTTGAAGTGTGTCACACTTGCCATATATGTTTGACTTTTTCCAAAAGAAATATGAGCAAAAAGTTAGCTGGAAGGTACACTTTGCTGAAGCCACAGTTATCTTTCCTCTTTGTATCTTGACACCAGTTAATTTCTTAGTGTTACCAGGGCCATATTCACCATTAGACTCATGGTTGGGTCTCCCTCCTACCAATGCTTGAAAGAACACAAGCTGTTGAATGGAAAGGGTATCAACTAATTGGAAGCCCCGCGTCCTAAAAGTGATGCATCACAAAATGTGCTTTGCCCCTGTATAGATTTTCGGTTGCAGCAGAAGGGCGGATGTCACATGAATGCATTAAAGATGAGAAGCTCATTTCTATTCAGAGCACGCTCACCACTGCAAGTGACAGGGACTTAGTGCTGTCTGAGCAGAAATGATGGTGATGGGGCCAGACCCTTAAAGGCTTATTCCACCCACAGAAGTACCAAGGTAATGTCTTTTCTCCCCAGAGGCCTTGCTCCACAATGCCTCACCTCCATCACAGTCACCAGTCAGAGTCGGGGGTGGGGGGTTCAGCATTTCAGGAAGATCTGACAGGACTAACCCTGTTTGTTCAGTTGCACTTTCCTGACTGCAGAGAAATACATGCTGCTTCTGCAATGTAGGTCATAACCGGCTGCAGAACTATCCAAGCCTGCACCTGGCTTTTTTTGCTGACCTCTACTGTGGTTTAATAAATCAATCAGAGGAATGTGAGGCGTAATGTTTTCAAAGACAGAGGATAAGCATTTCCACCTGCCAGAGACAGAGCCTGAGGCTGGCGCCCTCACAGGCACGCTGGAGCCTGGCCAGGGCAATGTTCACTCCCTCAGCAGCTCGCCTTGCTGCAAGAAGGCAGCAGATACTGCAGATACTGCGGAGTCACAAAGGGGTGGATCCCCAGGCTCAGAAGACATGGCAGGCCGGCTTCTGAAACCATGAGTCTGTCAGGTTATTTGGTAAGTTGAAAATTAAGGCACCGTCTGCTTTAGAAAAGTTGTGTCTAAATGTTTATGAATTGATTAAATAACTCATAAGTTGGTCCACTCATTGAGTCACTGAATGTCAACAAAACACTTAGAATGT